ATCTAAATACTGCAAGACATTCTAACTCTACCAGTTTTATTCTGGATAATCTTCAGTAGCATGGATATTTAGAATATTTGTATTGGGCTTATAAAACTTACTAATAAAAATCTATTACAATGGTGTCAATATAAAAAAGCAGCTTTGTTTTAACTATTTATTGATTTGTTTTCTTACGCTATTAATAATTGTCTTGAGCAAACATGCATTAAATTCAAGCCTAAATATAACAAAGTTTATTAAGTAAGCTAAACTCAGTTCAATAGGCATGTTACTTACTAACTTCAGTCTTGCTATGGTCTCCTCACGATCTTGTATTTCACTGTGTTTTTTTTTAATTTCTTCCTGTTTACATGAAATAATGTTTGTAAATATTTTTTTAAAATAAAACTTTATTTTAAACTTGAGAAGTAGAATATTTCTACACAAATTGTTGCATAGGTATCAGGGCATTCATTACAATAAATATCAGTCACCAAATTATTATCTCCTGCACTTGCATAGTTACTATATTTTTAAAATAAGATTTGAATGTATTTTTTTCTGATTTACTGTTCATACTTTACTGTATTTTAAATACCTGTGCTTGTTAACATGCAAACTATTGTAAATAAGCTGATTGGTTCCTACATAATTGTGAACCATTTAAAATCGAAAGAAGGGAGGTAGGGAGAAAATATCAAGCTACCTGGAATATATTGGGGAGTTTTTATCTTAAGAAATCCAGCTGTTGAAGTAAAATAGGATAAACATTACAGCAATAAATCAGGAAATCAGCTTCAAATTAAAATCTACCTGCATTCCCTAGCTCAGTGGTGGCGAACCTATGGCACGGGTGCCAGAAGCGGCACTCAGAGCCCTCTCTATGGGCACACGCGCCATCGCCCCAGTCCTAGGCCTTCAGCTGGGTTTTATAAAACCTTTTCGCTTTAGGCCTCCATCACCATGTGCAAAAATGTTCAATCAGTCAATTTCAACTTCTCACGGGAAAAAAAAAGATCTTGCAAAGTTGGAATTGATTGAACTTTTTAGTCTCACCCAGTCTGCCGTTACCACCGTAGCCACGCCCACCCAATGGGCCACACCCACCCGGCACCCGACGATGCATAAGTGGGTTTTGGATTGCAGTTTGGGCACTCGGTCTCTAAAAGGTTCGCCATCACTGCCCTAGCTGGTCTCATGTAATTTCAATATTTCATCTGCAATACGGAATTGTAGAACTGATAAAGGATTGCAAATATATATATAGTGGTCAGGAAGGGCTGTCCTCAGTCCAATACCCAGAGACTGTACACCAGCTGAAAAGAGAGGTGGACGGAGTCAGGTGAGTGTCAAAGTCATTGTCCGGGAAGTAATCCAGAAGTACATTAATAAGATGGCACCCCAAAATGAGCTGCTGAGAGTGCCTGAAGCAGCAGCTGATCTAAAAGGAAGATCAAGCACAGGAAGTGCCATGCAGGATAAGTCCCTGTATGAGATGTACAACAGATAGCTGAGGTTGCTGACATTGGAAAATCTTATCAATGGCTAGAAAGAGTTGGACAGCATTGAGGCACTGATCATAGCTGCACAAGAAACTAAGCACCAGATCCATAGAAACAGGACTGGCTCCTGATTATGCGGAAAGGCCTCAGAGACCATCTGTCGAGCCCTGCGAGGCTGACCCGGCCGGGTACGAGAACGCCGCCAGCCACCCCGTCCGCCTTACCCTGCCTTCAGCGTTCTGGGGAAGCCTCGGACTGACCGGCATCGGGTAGATGGTGAGGGAGCCCGTCGCCGCATCGTCGGGTTGCCTTGGGGCTCCGCCGCCGGTGTAGACACTCCCCTCTGTCGTCATCCCCCTGCACCTCGCAGGGCCGACAAACGGCTGAGGGGGAAATAGACTGAGCGGAAAACGACCGGACGAGGCCTCCGCCCCAACAAGCTACGGCGGAGGAACGGGCAGCGGTAGATTGCTCCAGCTGTGTGATAGGACGGCAAGGACTGGGTTAGGGCCAGGTGCAGCACGGTGGATGGTGGCTTGAGGGGCGGGGCGGCGTTAACGAGGGTGGGGTTGGCGCGGTAACGAGGGTGGGGCTGGCGCGTTTCCTATGTAAGGCACTGGGAGTCTCCCAGTGCTGACTTTGAACTGAATGGAGTGCATTAAACTGCCGTTCGTCTGGCGTACCTGCTTGATGGCTGTTGTGTGAAGCACCAAGACAGGACGTTTTGACACCATCCAACAAACAGTGGCTGGATGTAAGATGTAGGCAGGGATAGCATACACTGAATGGCACAACCAAGTAGCTGGAATGGGCCCTAGCCAATAAGAGGCAGTTCAGTAGTGAGAAAAGCAAGATCCTGGACTTAGGCAGGAAAAACCAAATGCCCAGGTATAGAATAGACAGTACCTGGCTCAACGATTGTAACTGTGAGAGGAATCTAGGTGTCCTAGTGGACCCCCACTTATGTCTGAGCCAGCAGTGTGTTGCAGCTGCCAAAACAGCCGATTCAGTCCTAGGCTGCATCAGCAGAGGGATAGCATCAAGATCATGAGAAGCGACAATGCCACTGTATACCACACTAGTGAGGCCACACTTGAAATTACTGTGTCCAATTCTGGTGCCACAGTACAAAAAAGATGCTGAGACCCTAAAAAGAATACAGAGAAGAGCAAAAATGGTGGTAAGTCTGGAAACTAACTATATAGTGAACAGTTAAGTGTACTGGGTATGTCTAGCCCAGTGGTTCTCAACCTTTTTAATGCCGCGACCCCCAACCGGTCGTAAGTCGAGGACTAAGCCGGCCGTAAGTCGAGGACTACCCAACTGGTCGTAAGTCGAGGACTTTCCCTGCCCGGGAGCGCCGCGCATGCGTGGTTCCGCCCCTGCGCCGGCCGAGGCGTAGCTGGCAAGCGGCAGAGACGGAGCAGGCCGACCACCAGCTGGCCCAGCTCAAGGGAGGTAAGGCACCCGCCGGAAAAGGGGGGGAAAAAATGGTGGACAGCGTTGCTTGGCGACCCCCGTGAAATGGTTGATCGACCCCAAATGGGGTCGCGACCCATAGGTTGAGAACCGCTGGTCTAGCCTAACAAAGAGAAGGATTGGGGTGACACGATAGCTGTCTTCCAGTACAGAGATGAGGGGAGGTCAACTTATTCTCCAAAGCACTCGGCAGGACAAGAAGCAGTGGGTGGAAGCTCATTAAAGAGAGATCCTATTTGGAACAAAGGAGAATTTTCTCTCAGCGAGAACAATTAACCAATGGAACACTTGCTTCCCAGGGTTGTGGATGTTTAAACTGGATGTTTTCAAGAAAAGATAGGGCATTTATTTGTCTGGGATGGTATAAGGACTCCTGCCATAAGCAGCGAGATGGATTAGAAGGCCTCCAAGGTCTCTTCCAGCCCTATGAAGCTATTTCCACAGTGTATTGGCTAGACCAGGGGTAGGCAACCTTGGCTCTTTTATGACTCGTGGACTTCAACTCCCAGAATTCCTGAGCTAGCCATGCTGAGGGGAAAGGGAGAGGTTTCCAAGCTGAGCCATGCTGGCTCAGGAATTCTGGGAGTTGAAGTCCACGAGTCATAAAAGAGCCGAGGTTGCCTACCCCTGGGCTAGACCTTCTCAAGTCCAGATAGAAGATTCCATAGAAGGCTGCGGAAAATAACAGGGCTAAGATCCTGTGGGACTTCCAGATCCAGACAAGCAAGCAGGTACTTGCCAATCAAGCAGACATTGTGGTAGTAGACAAGGACCAAAAAAACAGCAGTGGCGATAGATGTCGCAGTGCCAAGTGACAGCAATATTAGTTAGGAGGAATGCAAGAAGCTGGAGAAGTACCAGGAAGAACTAGAGAGGATGTAGAAAGAAATGGCCAAAGTCTTCCCAGTGGTGGTAGGAGCACTCAAGGCTCTGACTCCTAAGCTGGGAGAGTGGCTCCAATAGAATCCAGGAAAATCAGAGCTCCCTGTCCAGTAGAGTGCAGTGCTGGGAACATCTAAAATACTGCATGGAAAATCCCAGACCTCTGGCAGAAGAGCCAAGATTGAGGAAAACACATACGACTCATAAGGGTGAGAAAGGAATTATAGCTGATGAGAGCTAAACAGCTTGAAATAGCTATACTAGTCTCCCTTTAACTCTTTGTCGGCTACAAAATTTTGAATTTACAGTTGTCGCAGTAGTGACGTTTGCCTGCAAAAAAATGCTCCTATATTGGAATGAAAAAGCAGTAGCAGATTGCTTTGTCCCATATTTGGTTATAGGGATATTATTATTCCTATAAGAAGTAAACATGACCTCAAGTTGAGATTGAATGCAGTTTTCTGGGCAACATTTTGGAAGTGACTTATTCCTGCCTTCTCCCAGGGTATTTTTTTCCCCCAATTTCCCAGTCTATCCTGACATCCCTGGTAATCTTTCTCACTCAAGTGCTGCTTCATGTTCAATATTATTTTTATAAAATGTTCCAAAAGAATTTGGATGGTGTACAGATATTTCTTGTTTAGCAAATGCCTTGGACAGCAACCATTATAGCAGTGATGAAAAAGTGCAATCATGCCCATATTTATAACCTGTGCAGCGTCTCTGTCTCTCGTTCACACGTTCATCATTACAGTCGGCTAAACAGCTGTCCCAAGGCTGATATGCCCCAGAGCAGAAAGATTGATTAAACAAGCTATCTCTGCTGCTTTTCTCCACCGCTGAGTGCTTCTCTAAAATGGGCTACCTGCAAATTAAAAAGCTCAGCTCTGTGACCTTTACTGAAGGCTGGGCCACTGGCAGCTGCTGTCTGAAAGTGAAAAGATCTTAATCATTTCACACTAAAGACCTGTTGCCTTCTTTTGGTTGTATATTCTATTAAGTAATGTAGCTTTATGAAATGCTAATGCTATTCAATATTTTAAGAAATTCTTAATTGGTTTCTCTGCTAACTACGGAGTTTTTTCACTTATAAAATCTAGAAAGATGTTATATACATGCTAATCAACAGCAAAATATAAAAATTCTTACTCAGTTATGCAGAGCAACTGCATAAAACCCCTAAACCAGGGGTAGGCAACCTTGGCTATTTTATGACTCGTGGACTTCAACTCCCAGAATTCCTGAGCCAGCATGGCTCAGCTTGGAAACCTCTCCCTTTCCCCTCAGCCTGACTAGCTCAGGAATTCTGGGAGTTGAAGTCCACGAGTCATAAAAGAGCCGAGGTTGCCTACCCCTGCCCTAAACCTCACATTATTCATTTCATTTAATCAGTAAAAATATAAGAAGCCTTCTTCAGCATAAAACTTGACAGTGCTTAAGACTTAAAACAAAAAAAATGTTTTGTGAAAGAAAATGAACTGTGGAATGTTTTCCCAAGGAATCGGAGCATATTCTTGATATTCTAGTAATTCCTGAAATTTTCTTACCTTAGCCTCTCCAATTTCTTTATCTGCAGTTTCAAGCACAATTTCTTTATGCCTCTCCAATTGTTGGGCCAAGTGATCAATTTCAGTCAACTCTTGACACAGTTCTTCATTTTTGTTGCTTAAATGAACCACCTCACTAGTCATATTTTGCCTACTATCCAAAAGATCGTCTATGCGCTTTTCAAGCTCTTTGTTTGTTTGCTGTAGAAATTCAACCTATGAATATTGACACCGTGTAATCCAGTTAAATACGTCTGAACAAAATTTAGAAATTCCTTCAAGGATCTTCCATAATGAACAAACACAGTACTTGCTGCCTTTACAATACAAATTAACACATTAAATCTATGAATGACAAAAAGTCTCTTTAAGTTATACGTAATTGCCTAAGTTACATATTAGACCCCAGACATTTGAAAAGAAAACTGGAAAAGCATAAAGAACATGATTAAGATAGCTTTAATTACAATCTGCATACATTCATCAAACCAGGACACCAAAAATAGTTCTCCAGGAAATGTTGATAATTAACAGTGAAATCTCATTTTAATGGACTAATTGTATCTTTTATTCATTTGTATGAAGATGTCATTATCATGCAAATTACATCAATTGATGCCTGGCCTTTTGCACTGTTTATGTAATGCTGTCATTATGTCAAATGGCACTTGAAAAGTGTGCCCATTTGCATGGGAAGTCCATTTAATCAAGGTGCAGAAAAATGGAAATTTCATTGTACTTTGGCTAACATTAAGATGATCCATACTTTTAAGGTTTTCGGTTATGCTTTAGTGGCCTCTAGATGTAGAAGCTGAAAGAGACTCAACGGTGTTACCTGCAAATTCAGGTGATCGATAATTTTTTCATTACTTCTGCTTTTGGCTTCCAGAGATATGACATCATGAGAACGACCACCATCTAGTGCGAGTGCTAAACGTTCAATCTCACTGTCTCGGAGCTCAACCTTCGAAGAAAAAAATAACTGTTTGTGTTAACGCTGTCAGTGCTGTAAGTCATGTGCCCATGATATAATCCCACACATTATGCGCTACTCGAAGCCAAGAACACTGGTAGTAGTAGCTATCCAACCAACTCACCCACGCTCATTTCCCAGGGTTTTCCTTTCTCTACCTCCCCTTTGCTGCTGCCAGTGCCTTTGACCTCAAGCGCAGCATTAAAAAAAAGGAAATAAGGACTGTGGAAAGTTAGGAAAGAAGTTGAATAAGGTGCACCTGAAGCCAAGGATATTGGCCATCCAATCCAATCCTTCCCAGCTCCAGGGATACTGCTCTTCTCTTTCCATACCTCCCCAAATTGTAGCCAATATTTCATTTTCCTGCTGTCCCCTTGCCCTTTCTTCCCAGGACATGTATATTTCAGTTTAGACATAGAAATGGGAATATTTTAATCTGAACCCAGACCATGAGAAACTAGCTGCTCTGTGCATAGAAAGATTTGTATGTGGGTTGCACATCTCTAATATTAAGAGACGAAAGCCAGCTTGGTGAAGTGGTTACGGTGCTGGCCTAGAAACTCGGAGACTGAATTCTGCCCTCCCTTAAGCATGGAAGTCAGCTGTGTGACTTAGGGCCAGTCACTCTCTCAACCCAAACCGTCTTACAGGGTTAGTGTTGTGGGAAAATATTATAGGAGGCAGGAGTATTAGATATGTTCGCCATCATGAGTTGATGGTGTGTGTGTGTGTATGTGTGAGTATATACTCACAAATATATGTGTGAGTATCTACTCACAAATATATATGTATAGCTATAGATATTGTATATATAGAGAAATGGGACAATAATAATAAACTCGCTTCTTCAATTTTACAGAAACAAATTAGCAAATACTGTATGTAGGCAAAACTATTAAGAGTTTAATATACCTGTTTGCTGTAATTTTTCATTTCACGTTCAGCTATCTCTAGTTTTTCCTGCAAGTCGCCTACTTCAATCTGCAGCTCATGAATTCTGAAATATTCAATACATAGATAAATCACCTTCATCTTGCCTCTGTCATAAACACAAACTTCCAATTTTAAATGCATTTATAGAAAAAAGTTTTCCTTAGAAATTTAGAATTTTGTAGAGATCCTTCCATGGTAAGAAGATTCAGAGTTAGATATGGGCCTGCACTATCATGTTTGTATATTATAGTATGAGAAGTTGCCACAATTTACGGCCAAAGATCACCAGGGGGTAAAAATGAACTGATAGAAGATTGAGAAATACATGGTTTCACAAAATCCAAACCCCGTTTTTTCTTAAACAAGACTCCAAAATATGTAAGAAACTATATTGCTTCTAGACCAGGGCTTTTCAACCAATGGTATGGGTACTACCTGTGGTACATTGGCACTTGACAGGTGGTACGTGACCATCCTAGAAAAGTGGTAGCGGGGGAGGGGAATGAGAGTGCCGTCAGGCGGGCAGGCAGATGTCTTGCTCGGCTGTGCCTTGGGGGGCTCTTTTTTCAGTGCCATTGTAACTTCGAACAGTCACTAAGCGAACTGTTGTAAGTCGAGGACTACCTGTGCTTTATCACTTTTTTCCCTTTTTGGGGGGGGGTCAAGTTTTTGACACCTTGCTAGGCGACTGGTGGTACTCGGATGTTGCCATATCCTAAAAGTGGTACAATGGGTGAAAAGGTTGAAAAGCCCTGCTCTAGACCTGATATATAAAAGGGAAAGCAGATGAGTATTATAAGGTCTCCACTATACTCTTCAAATCTAATCTACATAATTGGTAAGTAAATAAATATCTCTGTAGAAATGTTCTGTTTCTCAGTCTAGTATAGGGTAATATAATTAAAGATGTATAAATTATGCATTTCTTCTAAAACTGCACACACACCCCAGTTGGGAGTTGGGAGTGGGAGGCACTGTTATGCGGTGGTTCTCCTCCTTCCTCACCGACCGTACGCAGTCTGTATTGGCAGGGGGACAGAGGTCGACCCCAAGGCCCCTAACTTGTGGGGTGCCACAAGGATCGGTCCTCTCTCCCCTTTTGTTCAATATTTATGTGAAGCCACTGGGGGAGATCATTCGTGGTTTTGGGGTGGACTTCCATCAGTACGCTGATGATACTCAGCTGTACATTTCCACCCCAGGCCACCCCAATGATGCCCTTGACGTGATGGCCCGATGCCTGGAGGCCGTAAGGGTCTGGATGGGGAGGAACAGACTCAGGCTCAACCCTTCCAAGACCGAGTGGCTGTGGCTGCCGGCGCCTCGGTCGCTGACTATAGGGGGCGAAACTCTGGCTCCCTCGGAGAGGGTACGCAATCTGGGTGTCTTCCTGGATCCACGGCTGACACTGGAAGACCAGTTGGCGGCCGTGGCCAGGGGGGCNGCTGCACTGGCTGCCGGTGGCTTTCCGGGTGCGCTTCAAGGTGTTGATTATCACCTTCAAAGCGCTCCATGGCATCGGACCTGGATATCTCCGAGACCGCCTTCTGCCTCAGATTACCTCCCATCGGCCGGTACGCTCCCACAGAGTGGGTCTCCTCAGGGTGCCGTCAGCCAGACAGTGCCGGCTGGCGACCCCCAGGAGGAGGGCCTTCTTGGTGGGAGCTCCCACCCTATGGAACGAACTACCCCCAGAGATCAGGGTGATCCCTGATCTCCCTTCCTTCCGCCGCGCCCTCAAGACATGGCTATTTAAGCTGGCAGGACTGGCCTAAGGGGTATTTTTAGTTGGGTTTTAAAACATTTTTAAAATAACAAAGGCCAAATTAATATTTCCTTTTAATTACGTTTTAATGGTAATATTTTTGTACTTTTGTATTTGTTTTTATTAGGCTGTTAGCCGCCCTGAGTCCGCAAGGAGAAGGGCGGGGTAAAAATATAATAAATAAATAAATAAAATAAAATAAATAAATCCACTCCTAATGTCAATGATTGAGATGACCCTTGAAATATTGCTAAAGATTAATCACCTGTTGTCAGCCACTTGAAGAAGATCCGCGATATACGGGTCATCTGGTTGAGGAACTGGATAAGCGCCAATCCCTGAAGGAGGAACAGGCTGATCTATTTGCATACGTTGACGTCGAAATGGAATATTTCGTTTCTTACCACCTTCAAAGATAAATCTGTATTACTAGAAGTTTGGACAGGTCATGTTTTGTTATACATAATTCATACATAAAATGGAAATTGCACAATTTCATGCTTTTGAAGAAAAGCTACTTGTCAGCGACACTTTAAATAAGATCTTTTTGTGATTATGTGAACAGTAAATAATACATTTATTCATGTGCTAATTAAAAATCTGTAACATAAATAATCTTTGCGCTGCAATAAAAAAATAATGCATGATTAAGAAACACTAAGGGCATACAAATACATAAAATAGTGACAAAACAACCTGCAGTCTTGATGTGACTCCTAGGACGTGTTTTGTATACCCCAGAGCTCTTTTCTATACTTGTTCAGATGGATGAAGCTTTTTGATTCATTGTGGGTGGTGGTGATGAATGATTTTAAGGAGTAAAGTGAGTATCTTAAACCTTGCTAATGGTTAAGACATCATTTCACCATCTAAAAATCCCAATCTTGGGAGAGTTTTAAGTACAAGATGTGAGGCACCACTTTATCCCCTAAAACACCCCATCTCAAAGACTTTGGTCCACCTATTCATGCCGCAATAGAGTTTTTGTGCATCTTGCAGACCGGAAGCCAAATTAATTCAATGAAACCTCAATTTAGCATTCCTCAGTATTACGGGCTTTGTATGCAACAAAATTTACACATCGATTGATTTCATTTGTGTTAAAAATGTTATGCAAATAATACCCATCCATGTTAACTTACACAATTTATGCAATGATATTACCTCACAAATGGTATAATTCATAAGTCAATGACATAGTTTTGTGTTTAATGGAGATTTGTGAATAACAGTTACTCCTACTCCAGTTACTTGCAAGACAACAAGAGAGCATCAAGGACCCCACAATTAAACCACTAAAATAAGGGGAGCAGATCCAAGGCCAGTGGAGACCCAGTGGGGCAGGATGGGGAAGATAGGTGGGGGTGCACTGCAGCATCCCTTTAGTCAGTTGTAAGGGGAAATTTTGTGAATTTGGCCATGGGGGTCATGTACCAGTTATAACTTTGAGACCAGGTTGCAAATAGCTTTGGGGGGGGGGTTCCCGTTGTAACTTTAAATGGCTGCTAAACAACCAGTCATAAATCTATTACCCTGGGATTTCCTGATACTCTCATCCAAGTACTAATCAGGTCCAACCATGCTTAGCATTTTTGAGTTCCACCAAAATAAGATATTTTCAAGCAAATTAGTATATGAGTCACTAAAATAGGTTTTAAACAGTAAAACTGGGAAATGAAGAAAGCATAAAAATAGGAAGACAGAATTTGTACCTGGTATTCAGAAAATAAAGATAGTTTACAGCTTCTTTGAAGCCTAAATAGGAAAGTTACTGAAGTTCTTTAGAAAAACAGTACAAGAGTCCACTGAAATAAATACTCATTTATTTGTTTTGCCCATGCTCTTCAGGATCAAGTGCTTAAACTGATACTTTGTTCCTGGAGCTAAAGGAACAGTGAAGTTACTTCAATAGTAATAAGAGTGCACAGAATTACAGTCCAATAAAAGAATCATCAGACCAGAATGATGAGCACATAGACTGTCACTGTACCTGGTGTCTGTACCACAGCTTGCAGGTTTTTTTCTTGAAGCTGTTGAATTTTGTCAGTCTTGGCTTTGTTTTCTTTTTCTAATGACCTCATTTTATGTATATACTGATTATTCAAAAATTTCATATCTGAATTCTCGTGTTCAAGTTTCCTCAAAGTAGCTTTCAGATCTGTAAGGAGGAAAACAATTTGATCCCATGCTTCTGTTTTTACTGCACAATGCTAACCATAAGAAACTCTTCATAAACTATTTTCTGGTATCTAAAATTATTGTAAGGCTGCCAAAAAACAGGGCATCTAGACACAATCAAAGCCAGACAGAGAATAGAACAACTGAAAGAAGTCATGCATGATCAGAAAATCTTTTGGGGAAGGGGGAGAGAGAAGGAGGGGGGGAGAGGAGGAGAGCTGGTTCACAGAATCACTAAGAATTGGACATGATTGAACAGAAAGCATCACCATCAAAATTATTACATTAACAGATTTATGATTATCAATCATAATCAGGGGCAGCACTATGCTACAAGAGCTCATGTATACAGTCGTCCCCCTTAATAATCCCCAAATTCTGTTTCCTCTGAATTTTTTAAAAATAAAAATGCATAGGAAGCTAGCATGTTGAAAAACAAAATGTCTGCATGGTATTTGACACAGCCTACTTGGTGAGAGAGAAAGGAAGGAAGGAAGGAAAAGTAGAGACGGCATGGAATGAATATTGCATGACTTTGCTGCAACCATTTTAACAGAGTAGACACTATAACAGTCATTCTATGAAGCTCTCCAAATGAGCATATTGTAAATGCTCAGGACTCCAAAAAGTACTGCATTCATTATGATGAAAAAAGATGCTAAGCAAGAATTAAATCACTGGCATTATCAATGATTTAATGGCAGGCATTCCTCAACTTAGTAGCCATTAGAAGTTATGACAGACCCCCCCCAAAAGGGATGTACAACCTGGTTTCAAAGTTCTGACATTCCCCCCCAGTCTTCTGATTGCATTTTGGGTGCTTGGCATTTGCTTCCAGCAAAAACAACATTAGCATTCGCTTAATGTCTATGGAGTTTGATTTATAATCATCACAAAGAAGGTCATAAAAACAGGTCCAATCAAGTGAATGTCAACTTAAAACCTGGAATTGTTTCCCGAAATAATATGAAGTGGTTTTATTTCTCTTACAAAATTTGTGCATTAAAATGTTAACTCCATACAGTATATGGCTGTCTTATTGAACTTCCACCCATTTAGCCACCATTTAAAGTTTCAACTGTTGGCTTGGCGACTGGCTTGCAATGACTTTGCAGCATCCCAGGGTCACATAATCACCAGATGGAAACTTCACTGCCAGCTTCCAACAGGCAAAGTCAATGGGGAAGCCAGTAGGAGGTGACAAATGGAGATGCTGCAGGAAAAGAAACTACGGATGGAAACTAATCAAGGAGAACCTAGAACTAAGGAGAAACTTCCTGACAGTTAGAACAATTAACCAATGGAACAACCTGCCTCCAGAAGCGGTGAATACTTCAACACTGGAAGTTTTTAAGAAGAGACTGGACAGCCATTTGTCCAAAATGGTATAGGGTTTCCTGCCTGAGCAGGGGGTTGGACTCTATGACCCCCAAGGTCCCTTCCAACTTTATTTATTTATTTATTTATTTATTTATTTATTTATTTATTTATTTATTTATTTATTTATTATTATTATTATTATATTATTGTTATTATTATTATTATTATTATTATTATTATTATTATTATTATTATTATTATTATTATTATTATTATTATTATTATTATTATTACGGATCATTGCACAGTCAGCCAGATGTTCAGACTGGATTTGGCATTTTGTCTACCTATCGAGTCCTTACCCAGGACCTGTGGATGTTTGATGGTATTACAGACATCGTCGCAGGATGAAAGCAGTTCCTAGTAAGGCTGCCTTTTGCAATTGACTAATGGCAAATTTGTCAATGCCAATGGTGTTCAAGTGGTGCTCCAGTAGTTTTGGGATTGCACCCAAGGCGCCTACTGTATTATTATTGGTACTACCCTTGCTTGCTTTTGCCACAGTCTTTCTATTTCTATTTGTAGGTCTTTGTATTTTGTTATCTTTTATTATTATTATTATTATTATTATTATTATTATTATTATTATTATTATTATTATTATTATTATTATTATTATTTGCAATTCGCTTAACAATAGCCACTTAAAACTGCTGAAATGGCCATCATAATTTGGCACGGTCATATAACATCGTGCCATATGACCACATCAGTTAGCAATGGAGTTTCCAGACCAATTACGGTTGGTAAGTGAGGACTACCTGGATTTATAGACACCCGATTAATGTTCAGCTCAAAAGTAGTTTCTTGTTTCCAGATTCCCGGTCTGAATCAGCTTGTATAAAAAAATTTCAGTGGTTCCTGCTCTTTTAAATAAAAAATTAATTGTATAACCAGAATTTAGCCTCTACTGCTATCTGCTTCCCAAACTAATTGAAAATTGAAAAAAGCATGTTTCCCTTTTGAGCTTGAAGGTATGGAAGATGGGAATACGAAATGTTATTTGTCTTGAACAAAATCCTTAAGTGTAGTATCAAGATAGAAAATTTGCAGAATTAGGGACAACACCTTACTTAGTTAAAAACAGATAGCAAAGACAAACTGCAAAATGTAAGATAGAATGTTTTTTTTTAAAAAAAAATTGTATTACCTTTGACCTGTTCTTCGAATTGCTCTTTCAATTTCAGAACTTCTAAGTGCAATTCATTATTTTCACGTGTGAGCCTGGCATTTTCTTCTCGATAAGGTCCTAGAACGACGTCAAAGTTACTGCATTCTTTTTCAATTTTACCGGCAGATAACTTTGTGCTCCGGAGGCTCTCGGTTGTATGAACGAGGTCACTAAAATTAATAAAACAAATAATGAAAATATGGAATGTTGACAGTGTATTTCTAATTTCTTGTAAGTATTCTGTTGAATCGCCATGTAATAGAATAGTAATCGTACATTTTGATTACTGATCAATTCTAGAGTTTTCTTTCTAATGTCCACGTAAAACGATAGGTTCATATTAATTTAGCTTTAAGAAAAAAGATGCACAAGAAAAATCTTACATCCTTCCTGCCAGAGGGAATAATAATACTTTATAAGTTGCCGAACTGGGTCACCTTCCATAAAGAACTGCACTGATCCAAGTATTTTCTTTTATTCCTTTTTTTAATACCTGAAAAGTTTTTCCACCAGAGGCAAACTTTCTACTCCCAGTGGTTGTCGGTATCCCAACTGATCCAATCGTTTCCTTAAATTAACAAACTTCCGCTCTACAGCTGCAGTCATTGTGAAGATTCTCTAAACAAAAAAAAAATAGGTTCAAAAAGGGGGCCAAGTAAATAATTAAACCTATACAAATTTAAATCTATACAAATTACCATGCACTTATAACATTAACTTATAGGACCAAATCACATGCGTGCCAGCACTGAGTGAACTCATTGCAAAAATGGGAATGGTATTCTGACAGTTCAAATTTGTAAATGAGGTCAACAGAGGAAGGTGTGGATCCAAACAAAACCCTTACTGATACAATGAAATAACAATCACACCTAGTTATAGTAACACTAATAACATACAATATTATATAATGGCAACAATACTTTATCATCCTTTTTTTTAAATTATACATAACTCAAGACGTGAACATGCCTCTGCCTCCTATTTTCCCACAACAACAATCCTGTGAGGTCAGTTGGGCTTGTTGTTGTTGTTAGTTGCGAAGTCGTGTCTGACCCATTGCGACCCCATGGACAACGTTCCTCCAGGCCTTCCTGTCCTCTATCATCTTCTGGAGTCGATTTAAGCTCACGCCTACTGCTTCAGTGACTCCATCCAGCCACCTCATTCTCTGTCATCCCCTTCTTCTATTGCCCTCCATCTTTCCCAGCATAGGCCCTTCTCCAGTGAGTCCTTCCTTCTCATTAGGTGGCCAAAGTACTTGAATTTCAACTTCAGGATCTGGCCTTCTAAAGAGCAGTAAGGGTTGATCTCCTCTGGGACTGACCGGTTTGATCGCCTTGCAGTCCAGGGGACTCGCAGGAGTCTTCTCCAGCACCAGAGTTCAAAGGCCTCAATTGGGCTAAGAGAGAGCAAATGGCTAAAAGTCATCCAGCAGCCTTCATGGCTAGAGGTGTAGACAAGGGGTCCTCAACATTGGCAACTTTAAGACTTGTGGACTTCAATTGTTCAATGCTGAGAGTTGAAGTCCACAAGTCTTAAAGTTGCCAAGGTTGGAGATCCCTAGTCTAGAACTTGCAGTCTCCTGGTTTCTAGGCCAGCACCTTAACCACTACACATAGACCTTGACTTACAACAGTTTGCTTAAAGACCGTTCAAAGTTACGACGACACTAAAAAAGGTGACTTATGACCTTTTTTCATGCTTATGACCGTTGCAGCATCCCCATGGTCACCTGATTTTCATTCGGATACTTGACAACTCACTCACATTTATGATGGCTGTAGTGTCCCGGGGGTCATGTGATCCCCTTTTGCGACTTTCTGCCAAGCAAAGTCAATGGGGAAACCAGTTTCACTTAACAACCTTGTTACTAATTTAACAACCGCAGTATAATTCACTTAACAACTGTGGCAAGAAAAGTCGTAAACTGGGGCAAAAGTCACTCAACAAATTTCTCACTTAGCAACATAAATTTTCGGCTCACTAGTGGTCGTAAACTGAGGATTACCTGCACTCCAGCTTCTGTGTGTTTGTTTATACAGTAGTGGCCAAAATTGTGGAAACCTTTTGAGAAAAGTGTACAGTAGAAATGCCACCTTTGGTTAAGTTTCCACCCATTTTTCTTCTAATTTCTTTATAACTGTAGCCTTGTTCACTCAATAATACTATTTTACATCGCTTTCTGGGCAACCAGTCAACTCTTTGCACCATGACTTTAATTTTAGTATGTTTTACAAGCTCACTAAATGAAAGAACACAAAAAAACCCAACCAGCTTGATAGCCATCACATAACACACTGACAAATGTCCTCCTCTCAGCTTCAATACATGACATCAATCGCTGAATCCTACTGTTATCTGATTGGCTCATTGCAAAAACAAGGTGACACCTGACTGGCTCTCTAAACACTCATGCTCATTGGCTGCAATCAGATGAAGGAAAGCTACCTGAGATCAACCTAAGCAAGTTGTGCTTCCTTTTTCTGGTTATTTGGCTATAACCTTTCATAGAATACAGTACAAACTTTGTTGCATTACATTCTTGATTAAATTATCTTTCCATTGATATATAATTTTATGGTACTACTCAGGGCTTTTTTTTTCATAGAACGCCCAGAACGGACTTCCGGCACCTTTTTTGGATGGAACCTTGTAGGGTAGGCGGGTTGTATGACGTGTGTGAGTTCCGGCACCCTTTTTTTTTTTTTTTTAGAAAAAAAGCACTGGTACTACTCCAAAAACAAGTGGCGTTATTAGCCATCAAACCTCAAAAATACACTTTTCCCAAAAGGTTTCCACAATATTGGTCACTACTGTACACACACACAGAGACACATACATACACATATACACACAAACGCACATTCAGGCCATCAGAGGAAGAGATTCATACTAGTTACTAAAAAAACATTTGGCGAAACACAAGCTCAAATGCTCTTCAGCTCTTGCAAGGGAAAATAGGAGACAATTCATTCTGTCTTGGATGAAGGACCAAAGTGAGCAACATAACACTGTCCAAGGGACCTGCCATCCTGAGCGCCAAGGCTGCTTCTGGAAATTACCTGCCCAAAGTTGGAAAATAATAATAATAATAATAATAATAATAATAATAATAATAATAATAATAATAATAATAGTAAAGTTGGAAGGGACCTTGGAGGTCATCTAGTCCAACCCCCTGCTCAGGCAGGAAACCCTATACCATTTCGGACAAATGGCTGTCCAGTCTCTTCTTAAAAACCTCCACTGTTGGAGCATTCACCCCTTCTGGAGGCAGGTTGTTCCACTGGTTAATTGTTCCAACTGTCAGGAAGTTTCTCCTGAGTTCTAGGTTGCTTCTCTCCTTGATTAATAATAATAATAATAGTAAAGTTGGAAGGGAACTTGAAGGTCATCTAGTCCAACCCCCTGCTCAGGCAGGAACCCTACACCATTTCGGACAAACAGCTGTCCAGTCTCTTCTTAAAAACTTCCACTGTTGGAGCATTCACCGCTTCTGGAGGCAGGTTGTTCCACTGGTTAATTGTTCTGTCAGGAAGTTTCTCCTTAGTTCTAGGTTGCTTCTCTCCTTGAATAATAATAATAATAATAATAATAATAATAATAATAATAATAATAATAATAATAATAATAATAATAATAATAATAATAATAATAATAATAATAAAGTTGGAAGGGACCTTGGAGGTCATCTAGTCCAACCCCCTGCTCAGGCAGGAAACCCTATACCACTTCAGAGAAATGGCTGTCCAGTCTCTTCTTAAAAACTTCCACTGTTGGAGCATTCACCACTTCTGGAGGCAGGTTGTTCCACTGGCTAATTGTTCTAACTGTCAGGAAGTTTCTCCTTAGTTCTAGGTTGCTTCTCTCCTTGATTGGTTTCCCCCCCGTTGCTTCTTGTCCTGCCTCCAGGCGCCTTGGAGAATAGCTTTGGAAAATATATTGGGCTATAAAGGGATTAATACAGAAGCGCAGCGTAGAAGGCAAAGGGACGACCTGGAGGGGGAGGGTTTAAAGGGGGAGAGCTGGCTGAAAACACCTGGCAGCCAATTTGGCTGGGGAGGGCGACTGGGGGTCGCTTGGCCACAACCGCACGAACCTGCTGGGGCCTCCCTAGGCGCCCCGCTCTCCAGGCCTCCCTCGCTTCGCTTGAGCCCCTCCGGGCGCTACTCCCAGCCGGGCGACGTCATCTTTCTACCGTCATTCTACGTCGTCATGGAAACGGGGCCCGCGGCCTCAAATCGAGGCCTGGTTCGGAGGCGGGAGGGCCTTTGCTGCCGTCTCACACGCCTCGCCCCTCATCGAGTCCCGGAGGTAGGGGCGGCCTGGTTGGAGCGGCTTCTTTCCTCCGCCGCCGCCGCCCAAAAGCCAGCGGACGGACCTTAAGGAGCCGTTTGAAAATGGCGCGCGGAGGACGGGCGACTTCCTCTTCGGGTTGTCCCAGCAACCGGCCGAGCGCAAAGCAACCGACTATTGAAGAGTCTCGCGTCCGCACAGCGGCCCCTGCTGGAGTTTGGTGGGATTGGCAACTTTTCCGTTGGAAAGGAGAAAAAAAAACGAGA